TTCAAAAAAAAACTTGGAATGGAACCACCATTCAACCCAGTAATCCCACTCCTCAGTTTATACCCAAAGGACTTAAAATCTGCATATTGCCAGATTGATTTTTATAGCAGCTCAATTCACAATAGCTAAGATTTGCAACCAACCTAGGTGCCCTTCAACAATGAATGGATRAAGAAAATGTGGTACACATACACTATTGAATATTACTCATGAAATCGTGGCATTTTCATTTCGATGGATGAAGCTGGGGAATATCATGTTAAGTAAAATAACCCAACCCCCCCCAAAATAAAAGGCTGAATGTTTTCTCTGATAAGTAGATGCTAATCCATAATGGGGGGGGGGGTGTAAGGAAGAATGAGGAAACTTTAGATAGTACAGAGGGGAGGGGAGGGGGAATGTGGATAGGAAGAATAGTTGAATAAGACAGGCATTATTACCTTATACACATGTGTGGTTACACTACTGGTGTAACTCTATACCATGTACAGCCAGAGGAATGAGAAGTTGTCCTCCATTTGTGTACAATGTGTCAAAATGCATTCTACTATCATGTATAACTAATCATGCTTTTTTTAGAGGTGGTTTTACTATCAGAATTTTAAATTCTTGTCCTTTGCTTCTCTAGTGTCTTATTCTACCAGAAGGTCTACAAATAAATAAATAAATATTTCCTTAGATAATTTTGGATCATGCTTTTTGTATGAAAAATTAAAATAAATATTTGAAAAAAAAATATATATATATACACTACTGATTTACCTATTAAATATTTCTTTTGTGATTTTGATCAGCATGTAGCACATAAGATGGAATGAAAAAATGTCGAATAGTAATTATTTTAGAATATAAATATACATCTCAAAAATCCAAGATTTACCTTTTTAAAAGGCAACATTCCACTACCTGATTGTATACTATCCTACCCCCCAAGTTTATGTGTACCTGGGCTGTGCAGTGTTTTTCCAAAATTCATGTCTACCTAAAACCTCAGAATGTGACCTTCTTTGGAAACAGGGTTTTAGTAGATGTAATCAATATAAAAAGAGATCAGACTGGATTAAGAGGAGTCCTAATCCAATGACTAGCATTACATTTGGACACAGACCCAGAGGGAAGAGGATGGGAAGATGCACAGGGGGAATGCTATGTGATAGAGATCCAAGCCAAAGACACAAGATTGCTAGTGCCACAGCAGCAACGAAGTCACAAGGAAAGATTTTGCCCTAGACAGACAGAGCAGGATCTGTCAGCACCCTGACTGTAGTCTCTCAACCTGCTACAGCTGTGAGATGACACATTTCTACTGTTTTAAATCACCCAGTTTCTGTTTGTTAAACAGCCCTAGAAAACTGATCAATCCTCAATTTTAGGAACTTGCCCACTGAGAACTGGAAACCAGTTTCTATAATCACGCTTTTTTAGAGGTGGTTTTACTATCAGGATTTTAAATTCTTGTCCTTTGCTTCTCTAGTATCTTATTCTACCAGAAATTCTACAAATAAATAAGTAAATAAATATTTCCTTAGATAATTTTGGATCATGCTTTTTGTATGAAGAAATAGCTCCTACATTGTGAAAATTCTGAGAGCCCTTAATGTGATACTACTTCTTATTATTCTAAAGAAGGTCATAATTGATAGGATTTATCCCATTCCTTTGGTTGCAAAAACTTCTTTCTTTAAATGACAAACTGACATTCATGGGAAATTAGTATTCAGACGAACAATTCAAGAAATGATAATCACATCACTCTATCCCAAGAATAATCAAGCCAAGCAGATGGCTCTGGTTGGCACGTGGCACTCTCACAGGAAACATGTGCTTAGAACGCAACCTCAGAGTCTTATGTACTCTCTTTTTTTTTTAATATTTATTTTTTAGTTCTCGGCGGACACAACATCTTTGTTTGTATGTGGTGCTGAGGATCGAACCCGGACCGCATGCATGCCAGGCGAGCGTGCTACCGCTTAAGCCACATCCCCAGCCTCTTATGTACTTTCTTTTGCTGTAGTTTTTGTAAATTTGCAATATTGCCACCCTCACTCTCACCCTCACTCAAACCAAGCGTACTACCTTATAAAGGGTGTGATATTCCAGGGACTGTGGCATATCACTCTTCACCATACGGCTCTGCTACTCATGATATAATATTAATATTAAGCAAAGTTTATCTCAGAACTTCAGCCTTCTCAACAACAAAAATAAGAAGGAAAACAATAATGTGCAGATTAAATGAATTGACAAATATAAAGAGAATATTCAGAAGTAGCACACAGTATGTTCAATACCGAGTTACCCGTTTTCTAGACTGTTACCTCTTTTCCTTAATATACTTAATTTATAGAATATCTACAAATTTATATCAGATAAATAAATGAATAGAATGGTGAGCTCTTAATTTTAGAAATATGATTGTAGGATCTTATAAGGTTATGGTCTTTTGAAATGATGTCTTTTTAAAAGAAATATATATTTTATACTTTGAAAGATATTGATCATTATAACATGTGGAAAGGTGAAAACTGGTTTGATTAATGATATGGCTGTAGACAAAGGTGATAATTTTCTTCCTTCCTTATGGCACACCTGTCTGGCATTGGCCTTAATTGCACCATGAAATGCCAAGAATTGACATCTGCTCACAGAAATGTTTGCAGCTTTTCTCACCTGGCACCTGTGGGAAATAATGAAACATGAAATTAAAGGTGTTCCCTCTTACCACAGTGATGTGAAATTCAAACAACTTACAATTGTTTGTTCTATTTTCCCAACCTGTATGTCAGAATTAAATTTTCTAAGGAAACGTATCTTCAAAAATATAATAAAAATCAAAATAAAGATGTGATTTACGTTATAGAGAGAGGTTCACATAGCAGAGTTTTTATGATTTTTTTAAAGAAATCTTGTTTTCTGCAGCTACATGTTRTACAAATGGCTTCTCTAAGTATTGGTCTATATGGTAATCAGATCCTTATGGGTTGCCAATTTTTCTAACACAAGGACAATGAGTTACTCCATGATATTATTCTTTTTAAAAATACATTTATTTAATTAATTTCATTTTTATGTGGATCAAACCTAGGTACTCACAAGTGCTGGGCAATACTCTACCACTGAGCCACAACCCCAGCCCTGATAAAATTCTTAATCARGACTACAGTTCAGATTCTAAACTAGATGCAGACTTAGGGTTACTATTATTTTAGTGAGATTTCCTTCCTAGTCCTCTGAAAGAATATTTAGGAGAACTTGAATATTCTGATCTAAAAGATTTAAAAGTATTTTAGTCTATTATATAAAGAATAAATTATAAAAATGAATCTGAAATGTAATTTTAAAACTAATTCAGCAATTGGATAAAAAGGCCATCTTGTTGATTTAGTGATAAAAACTTGATAGAAAAATATCTTCTATCCTTAAAAAACATAAGAAATTAGTATTAGTCTGACTGCTAAATTAAACCATTTTAAAAAGAATATTTATCCTGGTGTTTTTTTAAATTTATTACTTTTAATCTAAAAATGATCATTTTAAACCCATTTTCATTGTTGGGCACGTTTCTTAGTAGGAGATGGGATATAATTAGCTGTAATTTTATATACTATAACATACCTAGAAACAATTTTACAAATTACAGAAATTTTCAGTTTCATTTTATATATGTAAAATGGCATAGAAACAATTATACAACATACATTTCATATTTTCCAACTTATTAACTATAAAGAATATGAAGTTTATTTTGTTTTTAAACAATTTTTTATTTTTATAACTGTAAAAATATATTTATAAAGAAAAACCACTATTTTACTGGTAAGCACAACAGAATTTTGAAATACTTAAGGCCCTGTGTAATAGAATTAAGTAGATTTTTGTCCAGAAATTGTTATGGATTCTATTTTCCTTTGGACAGTGTGTTAGAGAATTGGCTCTTTAGTGTGTTGGTGACAAATAAGTTTTATGCTCATTTATATAAAATTACTTTAAAGAATTTGAACAATTGTTCAAATGACCTTTCTTTGAAAAATCACCATCTGGATACATTTTGACAAGCTACAGTAAGTTCTCCTTAAGTACATTTAGTTTTGGATCCCATCTCACATATAACTATAATTTTAGAGATTTTCATTTTTAGTTGTAATATTCAAGCATAAATTAATAAAGAATTACTTTTTCAAGTAATTCTAAACAGAATATTTTACTACTTATCAAATCATTCACTCACTGGTTTTATTCAGGATCATACTATTTACTTAAACATAAGGATGATGGAAAGTGTCCCAAACACACCATAAGAAATGACCTTTTATACCAAAATGCTCCATTTTATAACAACTACACTAAAATTGATAGCCTTATAGCTAACTTTAGCATTATAAAGAGATGTCTGTGTAATTTCTCATATGCAGAAAATCTAAGAAAAAAACAAACTTTAAAAAAAACACCTGGGAAATAGTTTGGTATTCAATGTAACTTAACATTTAATTTCTGCAACTTACTACAATAAATTAATTCAAATTATTACATCTTTTGTACCTTTTTCATTTCATAATTTTCTCATATCTAAAGAGATTAAATTCTTAAAAAATTGTGATTCATGGTAGCTTTTGTGGCAGGCAATATTTCCCAAACTAAACTCTTGCGGAAGAATAAATTTTCTAAATTCACTACCAAGACCTTGGAAGCAAAGATGAGAAAAGAGAAGTAATAAATTACATTGAATAAATGGGTGTTCAGAAGACATAGTGTATGTGATGCTAAAGTCTTTTCTCAAGTTTTGAGATTGGGACTAGATTTATGGAGAAATGAACTTCCGTCGCCATGCAAATAGCTGTATAAACAAACTAACATGCTCTATTTAAATGCTGCCATCAGGATAGCATTGTAAGGTTTGGAATACTGCATGATATAGTAATATCACTGTATTTCTGAAACACAAACTTGAAAGACAGTGGATTTCCATTCTTTTCTAACATAAATTTGAAAATGTTTTCCAGGTACTTTTAGTGGGCACTGTGATTTTGAATTTGACCTCTGTGCCTGGGARCAGGATCAGGATGAGGACTGTGACTGGAATCTAAAACCTAGCAGCATCCCACCTACAAGCACAGAACCGGCTGTGGACCACACCTTAGGCAATTCATCTGGCCATTACATCTTTATAAAGAGCTATTTTCCACAGCAACCCATGAGGACAGCCAGACTATCAAGCCCAGTTATAAGTAAGAAAAGCAAAAACTGCAAGGTATGGAAGGAAAAGTCCCAATTATTGTGCAAGACTGTTCATAAAATCAAATACTGCAAATAGAATGCAGGGGTCAGACCAAATATGAGTTTGAAGTTGTTCAAATGGTATATGTGAAGTAAAGAAAAAAGAAGAAAGAATGAAAGGGAAGGATTGTTAGAAATTTTATTCCTATGGATAAATTCYATGGATATTGGAATTTTGGAAACCAGTAGAAAATTCCATGGTTTATCATTCATGAGGATAGATAACACAAAAAAATGTAAAATGCCAGTTCCTTCCCTTTGGAGAATTTAGTGTTTATTGGAACTATGAGAATTTTACCACAAAAAATGAAATAATATGCAGGATATAATTAAATATGTCTAATAATTAATATTAAAGATGATTAAAACCACAATAAAAGATTTGAAGGAGATTTCATGGAAAAGGAAAGAGTGAACTTGTTCCTTCATAAAGAATTTCTGTAGGGAAGCAGGAAATGTGACATAGTCCTTAGCTTGTGAAATTTGAAGAATACGTCTGTGAAGTTTTAAAAATCTAAATTCAATTTTATGATTCCGTAGACCAAAAAGCCTCATACAATTACTACATATTTGCAGAGTTTTCCACRTTCCTCTCATGTTTGCTGAGTTGTTTGTTTATACTCAATAAATTATTTGAGTCAGCTAGGTTAGGAACTAAATTTACCTTCATGTATAATATAAACCAAGCACTCAGAGATGACTTTACAGGAAACTTGCTTATGAGAAACAAGTGCATGAACAAATGTGTCATTTATTTATATTTATGATGAGAAACACTTTCCATAAGATCTGATCACAGATTCTCTGATTATGGCATTCCTTAATGTTTGAACACTGAAAATAAAATTAAAAAAAAAAACAACTATATCCAGCAAGTTTGTTTGTTTGCTGACCCAGTCAGGCTAGGAGACACTTACAGGACTTAAAACTTTATTATTGTCAAGATCTAATCTTCTGATGTACCTGTGTCCATAGTACAAAAACACTTAGTGACCAGTCTTCAACATTCTATCAGATAGTCTTCACACATGTGAAACTTTAGTTTATCATAGTTTTTCTGTCTAATCATGATACGGTTTCTTGGTTTAACCCCCACAGAGCAACCTCATCTCTCAGACTGAGGATTTTCTATAATAAAAGTGATGTAATCAGATGAGAGTTTTAGAAAAATAATTGGGTCAGCAGTCTAGAATAGAAGTAACAAGTCACAGAATAATATTAAATTCTTAACTCAATTCTTAAATTGAGTTTTAATCAAACATAGTTTCATGATTTTGCTGTCTTACAAATGAGTGGATACTTTCTCAGAAATAAAACCCAGGCACACTATATTTTATATACATTGAATCTATGCTATATCTGGCTCTATATATCAATAGAAAATTGCAAATTCTATTTAGTCTTGGAAAATTAAATATGAAACATGATATATGTATATAAACCCAATTTCATTTGACTTCTAAGCTTTTCTATTAGCTACTTCCACTGAAAATGTTCAAAATTGTTTTTCTCATACTGTAGTAGCTGAGACTTTCATTCATCCCTATCTCCCCTTGGTCCCAGGACTATATCCCCCACTATTTTAWGCATCTATATGACAATAATGAAGTATATGTAGAAGAAAAGTCAAAAAATTAATAATTAATGTTTCATTTTGTGAATGCTTATGATAAGGATTGAATACAGAGAGGTAAGGAAAGGTCGCACTAAGAGTTATTGGTTCTTTCATATCATAAAAATGTGTAGCAGGTAAGTAGTGACTTCACAAATTTACAGAAGGATCATCTCTGTCCTTTCACCCTCTGGAAAACTTTTAAGCAAAGAAAATTGAATGGTTTTTTCTTCTTTTGGTGGATGGGAGGCAGGCACACAGAGATTGATGAGGAAAGAAATCAAATCTCTGAAGAATAAGAATTTCCAGTTTWAAAAAAAAAATCTCCTTTGAAGAATTAATAGCAAATTTTCATTCCCTCTCATTGCCCTGAGATTAGGTCATCTTGACATCAAGTGTGCTCCCTAAAAATGGAAATTGAGTGTGTGTGTTTGCACATAAATCTGATGATATCATTCATAAAATGACCTTCAGATAGAGAAGGATTGACCAAGACACAAAACATATGGCTTGTATTTGTGGGACAAATACAGATGGTAAGCAGAAACCTGGCCAACCCATGTCTTTGGCTGGATGGATTCCACTGGGAAGTACACCATTCAGCTGGGCCTGATCAGTCTCTGTTGATGCTGCCCATAAAGTTGGCCTGAGGCCTTTTTTATTGATTACTCAAATCAATAATTCCATCCAGGTTGCATCAGTCCCAATACAAACAGCCATACAGTTCATGTTGGGAGTTAATCAAAGAAATATTTTTGTATCATAGAAGAATACTTTAAGAATTCATCAGCTAGGAAATTCAAGTAGTCACTTTACACAGGGTACCTCTTTTTGGTCTAAGGCTTTTTGCACTAATGCACTGCATATATTCCTTGATTCTTTACCTTTTAAACATTCATTTTCTCTTTCTCTAGAGTATGAATTGATGCATGAGACTGTGAGTTTTTCAGTGTCTTTTTTCCTCTATGAAGATTATACCACAACTGTTTTCTCTCATTCACTCCATGATAAGACAAGAGCTTTAAGCAGTTCTGAATTTTTGTTGTTCCTAATCTGTTCTGTTCTTTTTTTTTCCCCAGAATTTTCCCTGAATTTCTTCTGGTGTAAAACAATGACTAAAAATCTAGTATAACACTTCTTTGACACGTTGAAATGTTAATCTTCCAAAATACTTCTATTAATTTTCACTCTGGGGAAAACTCCCAAGGCTGCTCTTCTAAGGCCTGCTTCTAGCATTTTCAAGTAAAATTTGGATAATTGCTGTTCTGGTGGTTTTGCTATATAAAGAGGAGCCCTGAGGATCTTGTAGAACTGAAAATATGTTTTCACAAGTATGTGATGAAATAAGAGAGTATTCTATGATTTTTAAGAAAGTGATTTAACTCACTCTCTTGATAATGAACCCACTCTCACAATAATGGCCTTAATCTATTCACAGAGGCAGAGCCTAATCACCTCTTCAAGGTCCCTTCTGGGCACCATTCTGTTGGGAATTAAATCCCCAACACAGAAATTTTGCAGGACACACTGAAACCATAATCTCAATGAATCTCACATTTAGAAAGTAAACTCAGTTCATTTTTTATAAGTTTCTATGCAGTCCTTACTATWCTAGTAAACTGCTGTATATCATAATGTGTAATTCAAGAATTGCCTAATTCAAGAATTATAACTCAGCTTTACAGTACATATAGAACAATGGAATATACTAATCTAATTCTGCTCCCAGATSTGTTAATAAATGAGAATTATTAAATAAACATAAAGTGTAATTCATTGTATTACTAAAATAATATTCCTATTCTTGGTTACAGATCAGTTTTTATTACCACATGTATGGAACTGGCATTGGGGCCCTCACCTTGATCCAAGTATCAGTCTCAAACCAAACGAAAGTCCTACTTAATCTCACTGCAGAACAAGGCAATTTCTGGCGGAAACAACAATTATCACTGTTTGGTGATGAGGACTTCCAAATCAAATTTGAAGGTAGAGTCGGCAAAGGTCACCATGGCAGTATTGCACTTGATGACATAGTGCTTACAGAGAGCTGTATATCATCTCATTCCTCCATGAGAGAGGAACTGCCTGTACCTCTTCCAACGGGTATGTTTTATTTTGAGTTTGCTGCTTGTTTTTGCAGGGTAGATAGTGGGAAGAAAGTACAAAAGCAGTGATTAATTCACTGTTTCAAAAAGAAAAAAAAACTATTTTTTGAACCTAAAAAATATTTTTCAAGCTTTTACTCATAAAAATGTCTTCTGAATTTTCATTAAACCTTTGTTATACTTACTAGTTCATGAGTTCTCAGCTTCATCAGCTTTTTTCTAGATTAATATGACTCCTCTATTTTCAGTTTGATTAAAAAATTCAATCTTACACAAAGTTCCATTCACTTTTAACAAAATCTAAGAAAACCAAGAGCAGAGTTAGTCCATTTTAATGACATTATTGTGGTTATACTCAGTTTTGCCTCAACTTGTGGTGAGGTTACATCCTGAGAAACCCATCATTTAGTTGAAAATATTATAAATGCAAAGGTCATTTAATACACCTAACCCAGAGCACATCATAGCACAGCACCACAGTACCCTGTAGAGCATCAGTTGCTTACCTGCATGATTGCATCACTGACTGGGATCTGTAGTTCATTGCTGAGGCCCAGGGAGAGTATCATATCCTAAAGTGGGMGGCCATGAAAAGCTCACAATTTGAAATTCTAACTATGGCTTCCACTAAATGCGGATTGCTTTCTTGCCATCATGATGTTGAAGAATTTTCCTTGGACCATTATAAATCAGGGGCTGTCTCTATATGCCTTATTCTTTGCAGACCCATGAGAATGTCAACTTGAGTGGTTGAATTTATACATTGCAATAGTGTAGATGATTGAATATGTCCATATGTCCTTTTAACCTAAAATATTTTTTGGTAATTTATCTTAAGAATTATAGTAAAATGTTGAGTTGGCAGACATTCGATATAATACATGCATTGACTACATTGTAAGAAGTGAAAATATCAAGTGCCATTAATTCGTATGATATATTAGAGGTAAGAGATGAAAATATATTATTTAAATGACAAAAGAGCAAATTCCATCAATTGATAATGGGACAGATATTAATATGTAAACCATGAGTTTAGTGTAGAAAACAAAGGGCACTTCCATTGGTTTCTAAATTGTGTCTTTTGTAGTTGAAAGGACTAAGAAATAATAAAGCTTATTAGGAATAAGCTTGTTTATTTGCTTTGTCTTGTAACATGGCAAGTGGAATGAGGAACATTGCAATTTCTGTCTTTACTTCTCTGTTCATTGCAAAAGGAATATTTTAACATGGTTAAAAGGAAGTTTATATATGTTTCCTATTTGATGATTAAATAGGCTCTTCACTTGATAGCATAGAGGAAAACATACAAGCATTTGAGGATTTGGAATAGCATAGAGGAAAACATACAAGCATTTGAGGATGAAAACATGCAAACATTTCAACACTCTGTTGAGGCCTATGTATATTCATGTGGATTTATTGCAAATGTGTTTCAGCTTCCTCAGATTAATCTTCCTTGAAAAAAGCTTTGCCTTCTTTTAGGGTAGGATGTTTGCATCACAGCTACACTGGTTATAAAGTTCTGGTGTTTGGAATAGTAACTTTGTGATCATAATAAAAATTATCTCATCATAGCATCCAAGTAGTAAGGGAGCAAAAGTTTCTTTTTACTTTTCTTTTGTTGTTATTGTTGTTGAACCACTTGTACACTTAATGAACAGCTATTAAATGTGATGCAAGAGGAATAAATGGATTCTGCTGGGGATACTAAGATCTTAACCAACTAAAATCTAAAAGTAATTTTAAAAGACTTCCAGAAAGAAAACAAAAATGTATCTGTGAAGTTGTACCYGTTATATATTAATTATCAAATTAAGGGCATTGATGAATAGTGCTACAGATCTTTATGGTATTTGTGGTGTTTGATCAAAATTTTTGATAAATAGAAAATGAAAGAATCTTCTTTAAGAATTCATCATGGCAACTGGGAGTAGGAAAAATACCTCCCCCCCAAACTCTAATATTGGGTATGATATGATTAAGTGCCAAGAGAAACCTCTGTGAGAATGTGGAGAATACAGAAAATAAGTTGTGTTGGTATCTAGTTTTAGGCTAATTACAGAATGCTCAGAACTTTGGAACCATATATGGAACTCATAGGAGGAAAAGATCGGCCCAGTTTTTAGGGAAGTGGTGGCTGAATCTGAGCAAATAAGGAATAGATGAAGAATGTGGTAGAGTCCCTATGGGCAGACCAGATGGCAAGGGAGTGAAGAGGTGGTGTCAGACTGTGGAGGTAGAGTTTAGGTGATAGCTCCACATAAGCAGGCGTCCAGTGCAACTCAACACTTGAGACAGTCAAGGGAAATGGATTAAACTGGGGACTACCTTGAGTATTAGAATATTGACTGGTCTTAGAAATTAAACGTTAAGTGCACATACAAGTAAAAAAGAAGAAAGGATTAATATGGAATATAGAAGTTAATATATTACTAATATATTAATATTGTATATTTATTATATAAAAGTAGGAAAGAAATATTCATTTATATAAAGTGTTAAAATTGGTAGGAATGGGTGTAGTAAAAGACTCCCTGAAGAAAACCTGAATGCCTTTATTTCTATTCTTGGAGCACTCTAAAAATTGAGGTAAAATAGTTTAGTATTTTCTTAGCTACCTATCTCTGTTGCTTACATTCAAGTGAAAAATACACATTCATTGAAGTTCACTTTCCTATGAAATGTTAAATGTACCTTTAAGTGCCTTCAGAAATTAAACGTAAACATTTATATGTTGATAAGAGTAAAATAGTACACTTTGTGAAATCTTCAATAGTGAAATGATTTTGAAAAACTATGCCTTTATTGAGTTCAGAGGGCTTTTTAGGAGTCTCTGATGTTTTAAGGAAAGACCGTATATGTTATTTGGTTGGTTGGTTGGTTGGTCCTTTTCTGTTTTTTTGTTTGTTTTATGTGGTATTGGGATATTGGTATCCTAAACAAATAAAAAAGCCAAATTGTTTTCTTTGATCTTCATGAAAGTTAGTAAAGAGAGTTAAAAGACATCAGGGAAGCATAATATGGATCAAAAATGTAAGCCACATATTCAATTTTATGTTTTCTAGTAGACCATTTTTAAAAAGTGAAAATGATTTTAATGTTTTCTTTAATCTATCCAAATGCCATCATTTCAGTACAAAATCAGTGTGAGACAGGTAGCTAAGAAAATGCTAAACTATTATTTTTTCATTTGGTCTTTAAATTCAGTGTATATAATGTATTCATAGTCTACTTCCACTTGAACCTACCACATTTCAGTTGCTCCTTAGCCATTTGTTGTTAGGTTTGCCCATGGGGATCAGCAGGGGATTTGGGGATTTTTCCTTGACAATAGGACTCCTTTAGCTGAGGTGAAATTTGTGAATTTCTAAGAACTGAAGTTACATTCTTATTTAAATAGAACTACAAAAAAATGTACCGGAGGTCTACTGTGAAAGCTCCAGCATCCCACTCTAGTGGATTAGGAATTCATTAGGATTCTCCAGTTATTAGCTATGTGTTCCATATCATACCTGAAACAATTTCCTCATCTATAAAGCAGAGAGAATATCATTGAAAGATATAATTTCCCATTGGATTAGCCTAGTCTAATGTCTGATATATAGTAGGCATTTATTTAATAAAACTAATATCATTTTGTTATCCCATATTTTGGCATCTTTATCGATATTCTTGAGATGAAGTTTGGGTATTAAAAATTGAGATGTTCTACTGAGAAAAACCTTAATTTGGTGAATATTTAGTGTGTGTCTATACACATTTAACACTACGTTCCATTATTTGTATTTTATTAAGGAAATCTCTCTCTGGGAAAAAATACTATTTTTTGCAAAGATCACAAGCATACAGTTTTATATCACAACAAGTTCATTCAATAATTATTTATGAAAAAGTCTCTAGTTTGATGTCTAATAAAGAATATATATATATTTGACATATCTAATGATTCTTATTCTCTCATTACTGTAAAACTACTTAAAGTTTTGGATCTTTTCCAAATTGAACAGTAATATATGACATTATTTCCACAAGCAGTGACAACATCCATTAAACTTTGGAAATGATTCTTATTTACTTGGCCTTTCATCTATATTCATGTGCATAGTCTAACAACTCTTTCAATGAGATCTTAAAATAGCCAAGACAAGAAAAGGCAAAACATATATATTTAGGAAGATGAAACTTAATTGAATCTGGAATAGGTGATTCTAATTAATCAAAATAGACCCAGGGCTATTAGCAAAAGTAATATTAAATTATTATCGAGTCCCTAGAAGTCATATTTAAGAGCTTATTTCGATGGCAATTTTCTTAATTGCTAAATGACCGAGGGTGATAATAATTATTCAGTGAATTTTAATAAGAGAAAGACAATTAGCATTCCTCTTCTAAATGTTCACATGCAAATTCAATTACTGCTTTATTTTCTGTTTATCTACAGATGTTTAATAAACTTTAAGTATGATGAGGGCAAGGTCAAGTTTTATATATGTGTATGCATTCGTGTTGAATGACCACAGCTACTTCCAAATAGGAGTTATACAATAATTCTATTTGGGGATATAACATGGCAATCAAATTTTGCTTAAAAGAAAAAAACATGTATACAAATCAATGGGGACTGAATGGATTAGCTTCTCTTTCAGGTCACTTATTTCCCTGAAATATTTGGCAGCATTTTAAAGTCTGTTGCTTACTGATGAGAAAGCTGGCATAGCAATTCAGAGTCCTGATTGTACATGGCTCAATAATCCAGCTAAACCCTGTATGTGATTTTTAGTGCAGAGTTTTGAGATATCAACACATGAACTTGGATCTCAACTTTGCTAACTAGCTGTGTGATGTCACCTGATCTAATTCTATAATTCTTATCCTCTCTATCCACGGGACTATTAGATTCTATTTGAGTGATTTGGAAAATAATCAAGATAATAAATAGCATGTCTTGACCAAAGCTTGGAGTATGGTAATATTCTATATTGATTCCTTTTTCCC